CTTTAAAACTCGTAATTATGACTTTTATTCTCATAATTATGACTTGAAAACTCAAAATAATGACTTCCTGTTGGGCTTTTATTTTTTTCTTTCATGACAGAAATGGGCTTCCATAATTATGACACGTTTCTGTGGAAAATGTTTATCTAACCTCACTTCTGGAACAGCCTCAGTTTCTGTCAGAATGAAAATAAATGCTAACACAGCTAAGACCAAAATCAATTAGGATCACATTAAAACAGGCTTCAGTTTACAACATTTCAAACTCTTTATGAAAGTCCTGCATGGCGGCAGGAGAAGGCCTTCATTTCTGCTGCCACTGTTTCATAAACCTTTTCTTACGTTACACTCTTATTTACATGGAGTAAATTAGCCAGCACAAGATGCAGCAGCTGTGGCACCTCAGATGTTGACTTCAGCAAGAATTTCATGATCTTTCTGACAGAATGCTCATGTAATGAAAAATTTATGACAGTGTTATGTTTAAAGAACAGCGTTTGCAAAAAACACTTTGAAAGTTTGAAGATGGGAGTTGTTTAAAAAAACAGATATGTATATTTTATATTAATTATTTTATTGATTGTATTGTTTTATTTTTGTATAACACAGGTCTCTCTTGAAATTATGACAGTTTCAATTAGACTAACTGGTATAAATAAAGGAAATGAAATGTCAATTTCATCACAACTGAACACTCTTATTTAAACTTTTACACAGCAGTTTTACATTAACGTGTTTTTTTCCTATCAGGAACTTTATGAAAACCCTGCATGGCTGCAGGAGAAGGCCTTCATTTCTGCTGCCACTGTTTGCAGTAGAAACACGTGAATTACCATGTAGTCGACGTAAAGATTCGAACAAGAGCGTTCATGTAAACCTCTATGAAGTTCTGAGGACTTGAGTTGTTTTCAGACAACAACGATCCACTTAGCCTAGGCTGTGTTTGGACTAGCTGTTAGCTCACAGTCCTGCTGAACGTCAACTCTTTTGTCCAAACTGAGGACATTCTAACAGCCATCTACAGCAGGTTAGATATTGTTTATAACTAAGCACAGAAATCCACTTCAAAATGACTAAACTTTCCTTTTGCTAAACTTTATTCTGTTGTTATGCACCTTCCTCTGTTTTTATACTTAGTCAAATTGAAACATTTACTGTTCAGTGAATCTGTAGCAGCTCTGCTTGTTGAAACGCACTACGAAGGCATCAGCTGACGCGCCACAGACTCTTTGGACGATTGATTTTTCTATCATGGTGCTTCAAATACTTTCTGCACAAAAGAGGGACAGTTTACAAGTTACTTTTCTGTCACCTTTGTTTTGGTGATACTTGTGCAGCGCTGTTCTCAGTTTCAGAAGGAACAGAGAGAAGTGTCCTCCTGGCCTCTGACAGTGGACAGGTCAGGTTAAGGGAACGACGACGACTGTTGATGCACAGACACGGCCTGTAGCCAAGACACTTTGCTGCAGCGTACTCAGGTTTATTTCTATTTCAAATATATTTTATTTCCAGACTAAACAGAATGTGTTTGAACAGAAAACAGTTGATCAATGTGAAGTCCCAGGTTGCTGTCAGCCATGTTTGTTTACGTCTTTAAAACCTTTTTTAAAGCTTTTCTGGGATGCTGGTTACAGTCTGTCTGTCCTGAGGATGAGTGGTGTTTGTTGTGACCCGGTGTGATCTGCAGCATTCTCAGTGAGGATGTGAGGTTGCTGCACACTGACCGTTGTTGAATTGCTGACATCGATTTACCTCAGTGTGTCTCATGATCAAGCAAGTCTTGAGTGGACCATCTTTTTTTTTTCTGTTCCTCTTTCTGCTCAGCTCTGTGGCATTGTGCGATTTCGACATGCGGTCATTTTGTTGCCCTGGAGTTTCAGGAGTTCAATCCATTTCACTACAGATTTTATGTGGTGCTAATTTATGACTTAAGAATTAATCTCGGTAGCAGTAGCATTAGCTACTACTAATGCCACTTATATGATTTGTCATGAAGGCATTAAAACCATGGCAGACCTTTACAAAGACTGGATTTTTCTTAGTTTTTCAGAATTGTCCTCAAAATGTAACCTGCCTCCTTCTCACTTGTTTCTCTATTTCCAAATTAGACACTAAATTTCAGCATTGTTTCCAAATTTTCCAACTGTCCCTGCTGACCCACCATGGGTTGACCTTCTGGTTCTTAGGCCTAATCAGAAATCACCCCTTACTAATATTTATGGATCACTGGTGACAACTGAGTCCGACTCATTTAGGAAAATCAGAACTGCCTGGGAGCGTGAATTAGAGCTGAACTTTCTGAATCATCCAACATTTTTCAGTCAGGTCATCTGGACAGTTTCTTTTTTTATGTGCTGAAACGTTTCACCTTCCATCCAGAAGGCTTCATCATTCAAGGAAACACACAACACAAAACTGATTCTTCCCCCAACAGCTTACTCCAAAGTGGAACAAACCAGTTATGTTGGTGATAAGATGTTCTCTTTGGCACGCCCCCTCCTCCAATTGCCGGCCCTCTTCCTCATCGACAGTCATGTCAAACTGGTTCAAAACAACAAAGTCCATGCTCAATAATCCAGGTATACAATCCAACAAACACCATCTTAGCACCAACATAACTGGTTTGTTCCACTTTGGAGTAAGCTGTTGGGGGAAGAATCAGTTTTGTGTTGTGTGTTTCCTTGACTGATGAAGCCTTCTGGATGGAAGGTGAAACGTTTCAGCACATAAAAAAAAAGAAACTGTCCAGATGACCTGACTGAAAAATGTTGGATAAATACAGTACAACTCAATCCAGTAATAACTGGAGCTGTTGAAATGACTAGTCGGCTGCAATTAGGTGGATTGATGGTGCAGTGGTCCTGCAGGTCACAGGTTCAGTTACCAGCTGCAGCCTTTCTGTGTGAAGTTTTCATGTTCTCCCTGTGCATGTATGGGCTGTTTTCTGTTGGTACTCAGGTTTCCTCCCATGGATCAAAAGCATTCATGTTAGGTTCACTGACAACTCTTAAGTGTCACTTGGTTTGAAGGGTTGTTTGTCTCAATTGTCTCTAAGGGTGCATTCACACCAGCCCTGTTTAGTCCGCTTTAATCAAACTCTAGCTCGTTTTCCTAGGAAGTCCGGTTTGTTTGGGGAGGTGTGAACGCACCATCAAACTCTGTCACGGGAAAAAAAGGCGAACTCTGGCCTGGGTTAAAACCGAAGTCTCAGTCCGGTAGAAGAGAACTCCAGCACGGTTCGAGTACAGTGTGAATGTAAACAGACCGGGCCCCGCTCCACAAGCAAGAAGTGGAGTACAGCGCAGGACAAACAAACACGCATTTCTCTTACCTCGTATGGAGCCATCAGCTGCCTTGTGTGAAAAACAATATTCTCCATGGTCTTCTGCCTCATCTTAAGGACAAGGACATTTTTGACTATTATCGTTACTGATATTGGGGAAGACAATCACCGATATTTTGGCTGAAATTTTTTAGCTTTGTCCCCCAATAATCTAAGTAAACAGCTACTTTTAAACCTGTTTTAACACTTCAAACAGCCTTCCTGATGTGTGTTCACATTTTCCATCCTCCACTATTCACCATGAAGTTATCAAGTGTGTTACAAAAATATAAATTAAACAAATAAATGTCCTTCCCTGTTCATTGTTTCAACAGTCAGTCACATATGGTGAATGTCTAATTAGTATTGATTGCAGCAGAGTTATTTTTTCTTTGCAGAAAAGTAAAGATTTCAGACAAACAATACATTTCACTGAGGACGACAAAGATAATCTCTGATATATTTTACCTCTATGTTAGATTTATTGTTCTGGATAAAGTTTTACAAGGCCTACGCTAGGTTATCTAAACGTTAGCATGCTAACTTAAGGGGCATGTAGCTAATGACAAGCAGGTTGGAGGATGGAAGATAATTTATTCTTATTGTTTATTTATTTTACAGATCAGTTAAAATAAACTTGCGATGCTCTGTTCAGCAAAATACGCTACGTTCTCTGCTTCGGCTGTGATGAAAGTGAAAGTTAAAGTGAACTGAAGTGGTGGATACATTGTGCCATTTTCTTCAAATTGTTTTTCTTATTACTGTTTTTCTTGTACAATTTATACTTTTGTTCGATGTAACTGGGACCCTGTGTACACAATTTCATTCCACCTCATATACCACATGTGGTGCAAATGACAAAGAAAGAACCTTGACCTTGACAAATGCACCTTTTGCAAGGAAGGACACGGCTTGTTCCCAGTGTTTATACTGGTGCATAATGGGACAGTTATCACCGAAACAGATATGTCCCAAACAAAGGGGTCCAAGATGGGATAGCGGAGTAGGGCAATCGACTTGGGACCAGAAATTCATGGTTAGAATCCCAGCCATTCCCACATGTCATGGTGTCTCTGAGCAAGACACCTAATCCCTAATTGCTCCCCGGGTGCTTACATAGCTGTCCACAGCTCCATCTGGGTGCATCTCAGGTGTGATGGGTTAAATGCAGATAACTAATTTTGTCATTGTAAAGGAACATACAATGATGACAACATATCGCACTTATACATCTATATCGGTCTAAAATATCGTCCCTAGCCGATATATCGGTTGGGTAATGAATGAATGGGTTGGGCTAGTTTAACCCATTATTTAAGAAAACAAATATTGTTTTGTCCAAATAATGTCATGGAAATAATTTTTAAATGTCATCTTTTGACTTCTGTGAAAATTGAGACTAACCCAATATATATATTTATATTTAAAATTACTATTAACCATGACTGTCTGTATACAACAACCAACAGCTGTAAAAGCAGGTAGCCAGCTGTGGCACATGTAGGAGACTTTCTCATTCTGGTTTTTGGTTGTCCTAATAAAAGTAAAGAATCCTTTGTGATTTTAGTATTTCTGACTGAGATTAATTAATTAGTGCCCAAAACATTAAATCACACGTACATTACTGAAAATTTACAAAAGCACCTTTCTTTTTTTATTTTATGTTTTATTCTTCCAGAGGAACAAGATAACCTGCTCTCGTCGGTGACTCGGTACGGCTCTACAGACAGCAGCTGCCAACATAATCGTCAGGATCATCAGAGTCACTGCCATGACAGCAACCACAACAGCCACAGCTTCCCCTCAACAACAACGGCAGGTCACTGGGTCAGTGCGGACCAGGAGGAGGAGGCCATCCGCAGGAAGCTCAAGTACTTCTTCATGAGTCCCTGCGACAAGTATCACGCCAAAGGCCGCAAGCCCTACAAGCTGGTTCTGCAGCTGCTGAAGATCTTTTTTGTCACAGCTCAGGTTTGTTGTCATATTTTAATCTTCTTTTAAACGTTCTGTTTTTTTCACCAGAACCATCGAAATACAGCCAAGCTGGATTATAACGAGACAGATTAGCTGTTTTTGCAAATACAACCAAAAACTAATCTGTAAAAATAAAAAGTAGATACATGTGTGCAACAACAACCTTGTTTTAAATTAGAGATGACTTTTTTACAAGATCATATAATGTATTGACGTCTTAAAGACTCCTCAAGTCTTTTATTTAACTTTTCTTTGCATGTTTTCTTTTTGGACTTCGTGAACCACTAGACTCCACTCCATCCTTTGATTTACCCACAAAATATTCTGAACCTTAAAGCAAAAGTTCAGATCATTCAAAGGGAGGTTCTGTGGAAAGGTTATGAACAATAATATCTTACCTGCTGTACAGTGGTACTTGAATGTTTGTGAAGCCGTTATAATTTTCTATATTTGTGCATAAATATGACTAAAAACATCATCAGATTTTCACACAAGTCCTAAAAGTAGATGAAGAGAACCCAGTTAAACAAATGAGACGAAATATTATACTTGGTCACCAAACCCAAACTGAACTAAATTCAGATGAATTTGTAATGCATCTTTTTTAATAACTCTTGTTTGTTTTCAGCTCTGATCAGAAACACAACTTGAACAGTTTTAACAAAGCACACTAAATTTCAGAGGTTTTGTTTCAGCTCTTCTTGCCCTGACGTGACACTCCTCTCATCTTTATCTTCAACCTGTTGACCTTTCTTTGTCTGTTTTTGCTTCAGTTGGTGATGTTTGGCCTCAGTAACCAGGTGGTGGTCACATTCAAGGAGGAGAACACGATGACCTTCAAGCACCTTTTTCTCAAAGACTACGATGAATCCTCAGACGACTCCTTTGCAGTTTACACACAGGAGGACGTCTACAGTCACATCTTCTATGCTGTGGAGAAGGTAAGGGTGAAGAAGACTGAGGATCCATCCACACAGGAACATTTTTTTTAATGCAGACATTTTTATTATTTTAGCCTTTCTTGAACTTGGAAACGGCATTTTAGCAGATCCCAAACAGTATTTTTTGCAAACAGGTTCCAGAGTGAAAAAAGCTTTAAGTGCCAACTTTGTGCTTTCTAAAATCATGATTTTATAGCCTCACCTCTGATCTAAAGGTGGTGTCTCACTGAGCTGCAGCTGTTAGGAACTGCAAGACAAAAGTCAAATTTTCAATTGAAGTCTCTGATTTTGAGGGTTTATGGCCAAGTGAGCAGTGAGCCGGGTGGCTGTGTTTTAAAGAGTCCGTTTTTGAATCGTACCTAACATTAGCATGGCCTTAGACCTGGTTCTTTACCTCAGATCAGAATCAGAATAAGCTTTATTATCATTGTACCAGGATACAGTGAAATTATGTTCGTACAGTCGTCCAAAAGATGGGCGGAGCGCACATTGCTGCTGCTAAAAAGTGCGGCCTCTTATTCTTTATCAGAATATTTTTAGATAAAAAAAGAGTAAGAACCATAAGGGTAGATAGTGGTATTACAAAAAAGATCTCTTTGCATCTTGTCCTATCAGGACACAATTTAAAACATCAAAAAACTCTACCAGCAAGCACATTTATGAATGCATTACATTTGCATTTGACGTCAAGATGTTGAGATTTGTCCATAAAGCACTTTCAGATAGATCGCAGTTCTGATTATGTTATTTTAGCCAGCAGTTCTGATAAGCCTGCACAGAAGTTCTCAGGAGGGTTGCGATAGACAAAGCTTTATTCCTAGTTACCCATGTCCCAGGAGAAATTTGATAGTCGGCTCGTATCCGAGGCCAAACAGGGGAGTCAGATTCAGATAAGTCACAGTTGTTGATTTTTCTTCAGGCAGACAGTTTGTTCTTCTCAGCCTTGAGTCTTGCTGGAATTTTTCACTGATGCGCGTTATGAGCCTCCTCAAGATCGATCCCAACATGCTGCCAAACGCCCCGCGGATCTCTGACATACCCCGCAGCATGAGTCTCAGCCGGACAAGAGGGTTCTCCAAGACCCTGTCGTTTTGTTGAAAAGATTTTGTTGATTGCGTTGAAAGTCCAGCTCGTCAGTAGAGATGCACCGATCTGATATCAATATCTGTATCGGTACCGATATCTGAAAAACTTCTGGATCAGGTATCGGTGACAATGTGACCGATCCATTTTCCAATCCAATTTGCAGAGATTTCCTATCCATGATGCATGTTGGCTTCAAACTATGAATGGATTTCCTGAACGGCAGCGTGTCTCATGAACCCAGAGTAATAAGACCCAACTCACATTCAAGAAATCCAGTTCATAGTTTGCAGCCAGCTACAACGTGAGTGCTGAGTTAGCAGCACTGTGGCTAATAGCTAACGAACTTTTCATCTAAACATGTCCGCTGTGTGGAAGTATTTTACACTGAAACACCACAAAACAGGACAGCAACGTGCAATGTCTGCAGAACCATAGCGCCACATTAAACCGCGGTAAAGTTAGTTTTACGTTGCATGTTCGAGCTCTGTGGCTTCAGCGGTACGCTGCTCTTTGGTCAACCCGAAACAAGCAGCCTGACTCTGGCCAGCCGCGCCCAATCTGCTCCGCTAAATCTGCCGTCTCTGAGGAGGGACAGACTGAGCGTGGCTGACCGAAATCAGGCTGCTTGCGTCGGACTGAACAATAAGAAGACATTGCTGAAGCCCCGGAGCTCAAATGTTTATAGAGAAGTTGCTAAACTTAATTAATGACCAACCACTATCAGTTGTAGAAAACTAAGGATCACTCAGCTTGATACTTGCAGTCAAGATATAGTTTACCCTCCAGGAGATATTTATCAGTACAACAGTAGACAGTCATAAAAAACAAATGATTTGAAAATCACAAGAAAATTATATATATATATATATATATATATATATATATATATAAAACGAAACAAAAACTGCTCCATTATAAAGTGATGTAAATAACTAAAACAGGAACATGTCTGTTGGTTTATGCCATGAACTTAGCAGATGTGTAAAGCCATTTAACATTTTATTTTATTAATTTATTCATTCATTTAAAAGAAACAAAAATTCATCAAAAAGAAAACATTGAATGAAAAGAGTGCAGAAAGAAGAAAAATCTTATATCTGCCCCTTATTTGAAAAAATAAATAAAATAACTTTAAATAATCACTTAAATTAATCACTTTAATATCCGCTTTAAAGCTAGGAATAAAAACAAACATGTTTTGTGTTAGAATTTAATTATAACTTTAAAACTTATCCAACATTAATAAAACTTATCTCATGTTGCCTTTTTGAACATGCATGCATATATTTGTACAAATTGTACTTGAGAGGAGATTATTACAGCCTCATATAAAATCAATGATGATGATGATATCGATAATTCAGTACTGTTTATATGTATCAGATCGGATCGGTCTCGGCTGATACCGGGTCAACAGATATCTGTATCGGATCGAAAGTGAAAAAAGTGGATCAGTGCATCCCTACTCGTCAGATCCATAAACGTATTTTTCATTCGGGAGATGTGTACCAGGAGCTTCAAACACACAGAGAGCAAAGCAGGAGGAAAGAGAACAGGGGGAGGGAGAGCAGGGGCGTCCGCCTTGAGCGAGAGCCAGAGTAGAAAAATTGTTTTCAGTCGGAGAACAGCTCAATGTAGGTGTCAAAATACAGCCTTAGCTCTCTTGAAATGGGTTGGAGATGTCCACAGCAAGGTTCAGGTGAGTTGGAGAAAGGTTGGAGACCACCCTCAACAGCTCTGTTAGCATTTTCAAGAGAAACATCACAATTTTTCATGAACATGTTCAAAACTCAAGCGACAAGAGTGTGTACCTCTGTGACTCGTGCAAGGATATTGCAAAAAACAGCGAACGTTGTGAGACATTCTGGACTCTCCCTCATAATGCAGTTTGCTAACTACTGGTAGTTGCAACCCAGTGAGTTACTTCCTTTAACTTAAGATCCAAGAGTGTCCTCTTTGACCTTGTCTGTCCACACTGAAACATTTTTTTTTCCCAAAACAATCTTTTGTTGTTCTAAAAATACACCTTTGTACTCAATACACTGTTTGTAGAAATGTCTTCATCCACACATAAACACCAAAAATGACCCAAAACACTATAGTATCTATGCCAGGCCTGTACCTGTATGTGGCACAGTAACACTGCCTCAAAAATATACCAAAATCAGAAAACAAAGAGTGGAGCATGCACATTAAACTTCCACACACTGGCTGAAAAATGTAAATACAACTGAAACTTTACCTAACAACTTTGAGACAAAACAGCCAAGCTGCCTAATGTGGAGTCTATTCCTCTTTTGTTCAAAATGCCTGTTATAAACAAAACATGAATCTGGCTCCAGCTCATTGTCAGATATCTTATGGTCTTATTAGTCCAGGACATCAACATATTTTTGATTAGAGTGAGTTGTGGAGAATGTGTAGGCCAAATCAACACATCTAAGTGGTTGTGTTGTTTTTATTAAACCATTTAACCATGTTTTTCTATGTGACAAGCCTGATAATTGTTGCGAAAGAGGTCACTGCCCTCAGGAAACACCAGTACCCTGATCAGCCCTTACAAATGGCAGTGTATTGCTACTTCTGACATTTGTATTTAAACCAGCATAAACCTGTTTCAGAAAATTAAAGTACAGTTGCTCCTCTGTAGGTCTGGATAATGCAGTCCAGCCTTCATTCCTCACAAGCATTAGGGCATTTTGTGTACTTGCTTTTTGCAGAGTGAGAACGGCTCACAAGAACTGCAACTGTGGAGACACAATCCACCCGTCCACCCATTATATCTTGTTAAAGTTCCTTGAGTCTTTCGTCTTCCTTCCTGTTTTAATTTTTACTTCATCAGTTTGAATGAAAAAAATGTATATTTTTGGAAAATAAATAAACTTAAAGAATATTTTGTAATAAAACCAGAATTTTAGAGAAGTGTTGATTTGTGTTTGAAGTAAGATGTCATACTCCATACTAAGCACAGGTGCACCTCAAAGATGTGTACTCAGTCCTTTGCTCTTTATTCTGCTGATTGTGCATTCTGATTTACTCAACTAAAAGGGCTGATTGCAGATTTTAGAAAATATGCTACACGTATCTTTCTGTACATCTGTGGCTTCCTTGTGGAGAGGGTCAACAACTCAAGGTTTTGGGTGTCAACATCACTCAGGATCTGTCCTAGACTCAACACCACACATCTGGTCAACAAAGCTCAGCAGAGGATACATTTCCTCTAGTGTATGAGAACTCCCCTTTCTATCCTCACCACCTTTTACCGGGGGACTGTTGAGCCAACCTCATCATTTCCTAGTATGACAACTGCTGTGTGAATTCAAGAAGACTCCAATATGTGGTGAGAATGGCTGAAAGGGTCATCAAGGTCTCACTACCTTTTCATTTTTCTGGAGACATGCAGGAAAAAAGTATTCATTGTGAAAGATGCCTGTCATCTCACCCACAAACTACCGTATTTAACCTCCTGTAATACAGTACTGTTCCACTATATTAACAACATCCAGGATGTCCAACAGTGGCAGATTTATGACTTTAGATTGATTACTTTCTGAGCGTCACCAAAACCTGTTGAGTGGTTCATGGGATATCGTGTACACTGACAAACACAGGCAATTAATTTAAGTGTTCATCCACTTTTAATGGTAAGAAAATTACAATATTATTCTAGTTTCTAAACCTGTCAGATACTGCCTTTCTGGCATCAAGAAATGTTATATACACACACACACATACATATATATATATATATATACACACTTTTTTTTTCTTTTGGCTGCCCCTTTCTTTAGGGGTCGCCACATCGAACTAACTTGACTTGGCGATTGCTTTTACACTGAATGCCCTTCTTGATGCAACCACAGATCACCGAGCTACCACAGCCCTCTGTGTGGAGTAGAGAGCTGCCATCTAGGGCTTCCGGGGGAGCAGATGGTGGGTGTTAAAGCCTTACTCAAGGGCCCAGAGTGGGCCAAATGAGGGTGGATACAGGTGTGGGTGCTTCACCTTTCCCACCTCCATTTTGATGTTGTCGGTCCAGGGAGTTGAACCGGTGACCTTCTGATCATAGGCTCACTTTCTATAACCTTTGCGCCACCACCCCCTTCAGGAAAAAGTAATACAGACCCTTTCCAAAAAATTAGAATATCATGGAAAAGTTGTTTTAACTTCTATAATTCCATTCAAAAAGTTGATCTTTAATAGATGATAGATTCAGGGCCCACAATTTAAACGATTTCACGTATTGTTTATTTTCACATAATTTGGGCTTCCAACTCATGAAACCCACGAAAACAGGATTAAAAAAAATAAGAATACTGTGAAGACATCAGCCCACACCTCAGTTTTTCCAGAAAAAAAGAAAGAAATTACAATCACAACAATTCAATCAAAATATGGTACTTTTCAAAACGATATGTCAAGCTTCAATACTTTTTTGGGAATCACTTTGCCTTAATCACTGCCTCAATGAGACGTGGCATTGAGGCGATCAGCCTGTGGCATTGACTGGGAGTTATGGAAGCCCAGATTTCCTTGATGCTTGCTGTCAGCTCTTCTTTGTTGTTGGGTCTGGTGCCCCTCATTTTCCTCTTGACAATACCCCATAGATTCTCAATGGGGTTTAGGTCTGGCAAGTTGGCTGGCCAGTCAAGCACTATGGCATGAGCATCAAACCAGGTTTTGGTGCTTCTGACAGCATGAGCAGGGGCCAGGTCCTGCTGGACAATGAAATCTGCATCTCCATACAGCAGAAGGAATCATGAAGTCCTCTAAAACATTCTGGTAGACTGTTGCGGTGACCTTGGATTTAAGAAAGCAGAGTTTACCAACACCTACACTGGACATTGCACCCCAAATCATGACTGACTGTGGATATTTCACACTGGACCTCAAGCAGTATGGGCTCTGTTCCTCTCCCTTCTTCCTCCAAACGCTTGGACCTTGATTTTCAAATGAAAGGCACACTTTACTTTCATTGGAAAAGAGGACCGAGGAACCCAACATTTGTAACCCATCTCCTGGATGCGTCTGAATGTGGTGGTTTTTGAAGCTGTGACTCCCACCTCATTCCACTCTTTCTGGATCTCTGACAGATTCTGGAATCTTCTCTGTTTGATAATCCGCTGCACCTCTTTTACTGGTGCATCTTCTCCTGCCACATTTTGCCCTTCTACTAGACTTTCCATTGATATGCTTGGACACAGCACTCTATGAACAGCCTCCTTAGTTATGAACTTTTGTGGCTTACCCATCCTATGGAAGGTATCAATGATGGTCTTCTGGCCAGTTATGTCTGCAGTCTTCCCAAATTGAACCAAACTGAGACAATTGGACCAAACTGAAGCAATTTAATGAGACCTGGAGAAACTTGTGTAGGTGCTTTGAGTTTAGTAGATGACTAGTGCGTCACACTCAGTTTAAAACATTCAAGCCCTGCAAAATTTGGGCTGATTTCGCCACAGTATCCTAATTTTTTGAATTCCTGTTTTCAGAATCAGAATAAGCTTTATTTTCATTGCACCGAAATACAACGAGAATATGTACGTACAGTCATCCGAAAGATGGGCGGAGTGCACAAAGCTGCGGCTATAAAAAGCACGGCCTCTCTTATTCTTATTCAGAATAATATTTTTGTTTAGATGAGAAAAGGGAAGAAAACATGAGGAGAAACAGTATAAAAAAAGATCTTTCACACCTTGTCCTAGACAGGGCACGATTTGAGGCATCAAAAAAACCTACCACAGCAAAGCAACATAAATAGACGTAATGCATGTACAAATAGGCCGGTGAAGACATTGAATTTTAAGGGAAAGTTGTAGCATAGTCCTGAGCCCTCCCCTCTCAGCCATTGTCAAGATAAGATGTGTTATTTATCATTAGCCTGGTTGAGGTTCTGTCACATGTCCACGGCCTTGGGGAAGGGAGGGGTGAGGAAACAGACAAAACATCTTTGTTGTTTCTAAACATGCCAGGAGGAGTTGAGATAAATCCGCCATCAAGGCCACAGTTTGGGTCAGCCAGAACTCATGAATTGCTGTTTCTGCCTTTTTAAAAGTCTCACTGGTACAGTTCTCTGATGGAAACTCCAAACCGCCGAATTGATTCCTTATGCTGAAAGTCGAGCTCACTGCTTCTCCAAGATTATTCCCACCATTCATGGGTGCTGTCAGAACGTTCACAGTCCTGATAACAGCTGCTCCAGCTCTCTGACGCAGCTGCACATAATTCAGTCTGAGTGCTGCCAAGCTTCGACACATCCACATGAATTTGTAGACAATCCAGATTTCGTCAAACAGCAAAAAAACAGTTGTCATCATGAATCCAATTTGTTTCCATTGAGGGTCCTCCTTACCCTGACTCCTGTCGGGAGAAGTTGATCAATTTTGTTGAGAGACCAACTGATCAAATCCCTCAAATTAGGAAGGTATTTTTGTGGGTTTCATGAGCTGGAAGCCCAAATTATGTAACAATAAACAAATAAATACTTGAAATTGTTTAAATTGTGGGCCCTGAATCTATCATCTATTAAAGATTAACTTTTTGAATGGAATTATGGAAGTTAAACAATTTTTTCCATGGTATTCTAATTTTTTAGAAAGGGTCTGTATATTAAGATGAAAAAAAAAACCACAATAACCATAAAGTATGTGTTTATAATAATAATAATAATAATGTCATCACAATGTCAGCACTATATGTTTCCATACAATGGTGAAATTAGTCTCTGCATTTAACCCATCCACCGCCAGGTGGTGCAGTGGGCAGCTATTGAAAGCGCCTGGGGGACATTTTGGGGATGAGACGTGCTGCCCAGAGACGCCACGTGATGTGCAGTGACTGGGGATCGAACCTGGGACTTTCGGGTCCCAAGCCGGCTGCCCTGCCTCTACACCATCTCGGCCCCCTTATCAAGTAGCTTATCACAAGTCCAGTGTAATTTATTTTAAAGTTTTGTCATAAAGAATGAAGGCCGAACACTGATTTCCTGGTTGAAATGAGACGAATAACGGTTCTAAAACCTATTTTTATATTCTCTGTTAAACTACCTGCACCAGATTATGGTTTGATTATTGGATCATTTGTGTTTATTTATTTTAATCAGCCGTACAGTTAATTTGTAAGTAAATAAAGTTACAGGTGGACTGTCTGTTTCTGTCCGTCTTATTCTGTGTTCAGCCCTCCTTTAAAAGCGGTTTCTTTTGTTTCTGTGTTCTTGTTCTCTCAGTACCTGACGTTACCAAATACCACAGTGGGGCGCTACGCATACGTCTACGATGTTGGCATCAACGGCAGCGCGCTTTCCCTCTGCCAGCAGTACTACAAGAAGGGCCAGATCGACCCAGCCAACGACACGTTCAGCATAGACCCCGGCATCATCACAGGTACACCAACTGAGCTGCTGTATCTTGCTTTAAAAACCTCCTCCTGCTGCTGTTGATGTGTGAATATTTACACCATGTGACTCTTATGTAACCGCTCTCATTTAGTGTCTAGACTCTGTTTCTCTGAGTAGAGAGTGTAGAGTGTTTGTTTTATGATAAAGTTCAACTGATAACCCGTCAAAGAGACAGAATAAACATGAGGGAAACATTTCTCCTGAGAGCTAAAACTCCAGGTTTATGGTAAATAAAGAAAACGTCTTTGTGTTCATAGAAATACATTCTTTTTGAAAATTGCTGGATTATTTTTGATGTTTTCTATCATTTTAATTATTGCATGTTTCAAAATGGTTTTAAATGTTTATATAGCTGCTGTAAATGTTTTTTGTAGTGTCAGGATGAGCTCATTTTAAAAGTTTCTCTTTCACTTCAGTAAACTTTTTTCCAGTTAAATAACACATTTCATAATCTCAGAGTTTCTTGCTTCCTCATTTAATTGTATTTGACACATAATTTACCAAGAAGTGACATCAATAATGAAAACAAAATATTTTGTCACCAAATATCTTCGGTGGCCAGATGTCCCTAATTGTGCAGGACTGTTCTGTATTTTTCACTCTTGTCAGGTCGAGCCTCAAGTTGAAACAAAGCCCCGCATTTGACTGGGTCAAATTATCAAAAGTTTTTAAAAAAAAGTTGATGAGCATTATTCAGTGGCTGCATTTTGCAGCCATTAGATATCACCTCTTTAACTCTTTGATGAGGCTGTGATCAGAGCAGCATCAGCTTCAGTCAAAATGTGTAGCGGCATCTCCACGTCATGGCCATCCTCTGCGCCACTATGCTAATTTAAAAATTAAAAAACGGGGGGGCAAGAAAAGGAATTTTATTTATGCAGAATATAATGGACACTATATCAAAGAAGTGAAAATGCAGCTACCATGGGTGTCAGAAGCATCTGTAGTGTGTGTGTGTGTG